TATAGATGCAATCAAGGTTAGTGTGTTGCATCATCTTCATTAAATTTGTTGTCAGTAACCTTTTTTTATTTTGTGTTTAATTTGTGTATTTTCCCCCTGTATCTTACCCCTTTCAAATGATTGTGATCTGTTAAACTGTGATGCAGTATATTCACAACTGTAAGAACGATTTATTTTGTTTTAGCCATTGCAGATATTCATTGTACCCTTTGGTATAGAGATGACAATGAATGGTTGACTTGCTCAACCTCACTCCAAGAGAAATGTCAGTAGGGCAAATTTGCCATTTTTTTACTGAATATGATCACTCCCCATATGCTGAATGAAGTTATTCTTTAAATAGAAACTTTTTAATAAGTGGTCTTAGGGAACTCGTTAGCAAGATCCATTTATTTGATTTCTAAAAGCATTCCATTTGCTTGTGGATCTAACATTCAATTTTCCATTTACATTGTTAATAGGCAATAGTTACAATTGCAGATGAAGATGGAAATTATTTACAAGAAGCTTGGGAGCATATTTTGACTTGTGTATCCCGGTTTGAGCATTTGCATCTCTTGGGAGAGGGTGCTCCTCCAGATGCTACTTTTTTTGCCTTTCCTCAGAATGAGTCAGAAAAATCTAAGCAAGCCAAGTCATCTGTCCTTCCTGTTTTAAAGAAAAAGGGACCAGGAAGAATTCAGTATGCTTCTGCTGCTGTGATGAGGGGCTCATATGATAGTGCTGGTATTGGAGGTAATTTGGCTGGGGCAGTCACATCTGAACAGATGAACAATTTAGTCTCTAATCTCAACATGTTAGAACAAGTAGGAAGCTCTGAAATGAATCGTATATTCACACGTAGTCAAAAATTGAATAGTGAGGCTATCATAGACTTTGTTAAGGCTCTCTGTAAGGTGTCCATGGAGGAGTTACGATCTACATCTGATCCTCGGGTTTTTAGCCTTACCAAGATTGTTGAGATTGCGTAAGATTCATTCTTCTCTTCTTTTGGCTTATCTTAGTGCAGTATATTTGTTTATATTCTTAACTGTAAATTTTCTGATCTGCTGACAGGCACTATAACATGAACCGGATCAGGCTTGTATGGTCAAGCATCTGGCTTGTACTCTCCAATTTCTTTGTGACCATTGGCTGTTCTGAAAATCTGTCAATTGCTATTTTTGCAATGGACTCTTTACGGCAGCTATCAATGAAATTTTTGGAGCGAGAAGAGTTGGCTAATTACAATTTTCAGAATGAATTTATGAAGCCTTTTGTCATTGTTATGCGCAAGAGTAGTGCCGTTGAAATCCGAGAATTAATCATTAGATGTGTCTCACAGATGGTGTTATCTCGTGTCAACAACGTCAAATCAGGATGGAAGAGCATGTTCATGGTATTGAATTTTTAATAACTTCATCTAGATCCTAACTTGTGAAACCTTAATCTTTGATCAGTTTATTATTGAACTGATAAATCCTTTTCAGGTCTTCACTACTGCAGCTTATGACGACCACAAAAACATTGTACTGTTAGCCTTTGAAATAATGGAAAAGATTATTCGAGACTATTTCCCATACATTACTGAAACTGAAACAACCACCTTCACAGATTGTGTGAATTGCTTAATTGCATTCACCAATAGTAGATTCAACAAAGACATTAGTCTCAATGCGATTGCTTTTCTACGTTTCTGTGCCACGAAACTTGCAGAGGGGGATCTTGGCTCCTCATCAAAGAATAAGGACAAGGAATCTGGGAAGATTTCTCCATCTTCACCTCACAAGGGAAAAGATGTTAGACAAGAGAATGGAGAGCTCATAGATAAAGATGATCATCTCTATTTCTGGTTTCCGTTGTTGGCTGGTATGGAAAATGAACTAGTTGTTTTATTGTTAGAAGGCATTTGAATTTGCTTGAGTTTTCAAAGTTACTTTTATCTTCAAACTTTAGAAGTGAATTCTATTCTGAACTCAACTTATGTCACATTTTGCTGTGCAGGTTTATCAGAACTTAGTTTTGACCCTAGGCCAGAAATTAGGAAGAGTGCTTTACAAGTGCTGTTTGAAACTTTGCGCAACCATGGTCACCTCTTCTCATTGCCTTTGTGGGAAAGGGTTTTTGAATCTGTCCTTTTTCCAATATTTGACTATGTGCGTCATGCTATTGATCCGTCTGGTGGTGATTCACCTGAGCAGGGAATTGTTAATGACATTGATGAACTTGATCAAGATGAATGGCTCTACGAGACTTGTACATTGGCACTCCAATTAGTTGTAGATCTTTTTGTGAATTTTTATAGTACTGTCAATCCACTTTTGAGGAAGGTTCTCTCTTTACTTGTCAGTTTCATCAAGCGTCCTCACCAAAGCCTAGCCGGTATTGGAATTGCTGCATTTGTACGTTTGATGAGCAATGCTGGTGATCTTTTTTCTGAGGAGAAGTGGCTGGAAGTAGTTTCTTCATTAAAAGAAGCAGCGAATGCAACACTTCCTGATTTTTCTTACATTGTTAGTGGGGAGAGCATGGCTGGAAGCAATGAACATGCTTTGAACAGCCAAAGTAATGAGGCTTCTTCTGGTTCTGACATGTCTCATGGTGATTCAGAGAGCCTGAGAACACAGCGACTTTTTGCTTCTTTATCTGATGCGAAGTGCCGTGCCGCTGTTCAGCTTTTATTGATTCAGGTAGACTTCTCATCTCAATATTGTAAAACCATTAGAAACCTTTTCTCATATCATAAAACAAGTAAAGAAATGGAATGGAAATATAATCTTTCATCTCTTTCTTTTTTTCTAAATAATTAATTTTTAGAGTTAAGTGATGGAGGATTCAAACTTGCGGAAGGTGTCGTACCCCTATAATGCTTAAGACATTTGTGATATAAGCATACACCTTTGAATACTTGTCTCTTCTAGCGCTCTTTGACGCCTTCACAGATGGTTTACATGTTGTAGCTGCTAGACTTACACAAGGACTCATACTGTGTCGGTAAAATAGAATGTGCTGGAAATAGTATTTAAGCTTTTTAATGAGGCTTTTGCAATCTAAGTATTTTTTTCAGATATAGGATGCTTTGCACTTAAACAGTATGGTTTTCTTTCTTTCTCTCTTATAACTTTTTGAATTAGAGTGCTAAAATTATTGTGTAAAAATATTTGAAACTAACTAAATTTTGAATCTGGTAGTCCTTTAAGACACTTTGCAATTGGAATAAATGTATGGGTGAAGTTTCTATGCTGATTGCTTCTTTATCTTTTCATATGGAAATAAGTCCTCGCCATGGAGAGAGAAGTAGTGCAACTATGGATTGCTTTCCTTATCTTTGACAATGGCTTTGGATCTATTATGGTTCATCATCCAATTTAACTTTCTAGAGTTGGTCCCTTCCTCCTAAGTGTTTGAACTTTTATAAAGGTTGATAATTAACAAAGCTGTTTGATCTAATCACTTTGTCAGAGTTATGGCACAAAGGCCTGATTTTTGTTAGACCATTTTTTAAATTACAAATTTCTAAAATAAACAAGTTTTAATTGTCCTTGTCTTTTTTTTTTTTTCATTTTCCTTTGCTTTTACATTTATATTTGCACAAATATCTAACTAAATAATAGGCTTATTTTAAGTTTGAAATGGGCTAACTTTGACTCTTGGGTGTGATTTTGCTGTTCTTATTCTCCTGACAGGCGGTGGTCGAAATTTACAACATGTATCGAACTCACCTTTCAGCTAAGAACACCTTAGTTCTCTTTGATGCAATGCATGATGTGGCATCCCATGCTCACAGGATCAACAACAATACTCTGTTACGATCCAAGCTTCAAGAGTTTGGTCCCATAACCCAAATGCAAGATCCTCCACTATTGCGTCTTGAGAATGAGTCATATCAATTTTGCCTTACATTCTTGCAGAATCTGATATTGGATAGGCCTCCAAGGTATGAGGAGGCTGAAGTAGAGTCCCATCTTGTTGATCTTTGCCAGGAGGTGTTACTGTTTTATATAGAAACTGCACGCACTGGACAGACTTCTGAAGCATCTCCCAATGGGCAAGCCCAATGGTTGATTCCTTTAGGTTCTGGGAAACGAAGAGAATTGGCTGCCCGTGCACCTCTTATTGTGGCGACTCTCTGGGCCATTTGTAGTTTGGGAGACACTTTGTTTGAGAAGAACTTAGCTCAGTTCTTCCCTCTTCTTTCGAGCTTGATAAGTTGTGAGCATGGCTCAAATGAGGTCCAGGTAGCTCTTAGTGATATGCTTAGCTCCTCAGTGGGTCCTCTTTTGCTTCGATCATGTTGATCTTGGTGAAATTGGACTATGTTTTGGATGTATGATATATATATATATATATATATGTTTTTTTCACCTGTTATCCAACTCCATAGTTTTCATTTTCTCCTTTAGTTTATAATAATTGTCACCTGATATATAGTTTCAAGAGTTAAGAGTTGGTTTTGAATTGGCTAGCGCTTCTGAACCTACTGTGTAGTTTATGTAGGACAACAGCCACTCTCTTCAGAATTCGTAGATATCAGCTGGGGAATTTTGTGTTGTATGGTAGTCAAAATTTTTTTTTCCTTTGATACGAGTTTCAGAACATTAATTTTTCTGTAAGAAATTTTCGTAGTAAATACGTAAGATTGAAGGAGGCCTCTTATTAACTTGTATAGACACATTTTTGAGGTTGGTGACCCCGAAGTTTTTGCCTTCCTAGATGATTCTTTCCTGAATGAGATAGACAGTAAAAAACAAAGGGTGAGTGAATAATCTACTCACCTTTATTGAAGAAAAGATTATTTTGAAACGAGGTGGTTGTCAATTTGAATGGAAGCAATAAAGTGGATCAATAAGTGATTGAAATTTCAATTTGAAGTTCTATTTTTGTCCGTTTGTTTGAAACATATATTGTGTTGACAGTTGGAGATTGGGAAACTTTAACAAACAAAATTTCTCCAAGATCGATTGCATATTTTGTGCAGAAACTTGGGGAAATATGAATTTTCTTTGGGACAGCTGAATTCTCAAATCGCCCGGAAAAGGAAAACAGAATGTTCAACTAACGAAGGAAAGCACCGGTTGCCGTCATTTCTCTTCACCAAATGAAGGAAATCGTAACTGCCTGCCTTCCAAGAAACTGGAGCCGGTAAGGCCACGACGTTTAAAAACAAACACAAGGGTAGTTGAAAACAAATATGCCGGCCCCTTTCGGTTTTGCATATATTCTATGAATTCTGCTGGCATCCACCATACAAGACTTGATCAACACAACGTAACGTTAAAAGGACATTTGTCTTAGTCTTGATTCTCTATCCATACCCTTCTCTCTATCTTGATTCTCTATCCATACCCTTCTCTCTATCTGATTTACAAGGTTGAAGCGATGGAGAATATCCCTTCCACTAGGGGATTATTTGGTCTTTATGCAGGGTGTTGTACCCATAAAATTATTACTAGGTGACAAATAACTAAATTTCTTGAGAAGAGCCATAATTTTAAGCTCTCGTATAACTTGCAACATCAACCATTCTTGGCACAATAACTATCATTTTTACAGGTTACTTCTTTGTTTCAGTCTTTGGATTATGCTAAGTTCTTTCAAAACCTGTTGGATCTCTTTGTATAAGAGAGCTGAACTTTTTCTTCATGTCAACAAATGCAAGAGAAGAAAACACCGTAGATTGTCATCAGGTTTTGATTTGATAACATCGTCTTTTGGGGCCATGGAACTGTCTGGTCAGTTTAGACAAGTCTTCAAAGTCATCGACGCAAATGGGGATGGAAAGATATCTTCTTTAGAGCTCAGTGAAGTGCTTTTGTGCCTTGGACATGAAAAATCTACAGCCTCCAAAGCAGCTGAAGGAATGATTAGAGAAATGGATTCTAATGGAGATGGTTTCATCGACTTGGATGAGTTTATGCATGCAGTTAATACCGATGGAGCAATTTGTAGCAGCAATAACGAGGAAGATTATCTTATGGATGCTTTTCTCATCTTTGATAATGATAAAAACGGGTTAATCTCTGCCAAAGAGTTGCGTAAGGTTCTGATTAGCCTTGGATTCAGCAAGTGTAGTCTTCAAGAGTGCAAGCGCATGATCAGAGGTGTTGATAAGGATGGAGATGGATTTGTAGACTTCATAGAATTTCGATCAATGATGACCTCAGGTACAAGTTGAACGTGAGAAAAGTCAAAAAGAAAAACTTTACTTTGAATATTCTCCAGGTGCTAATAATTCGTTTTATATTCTGTCTAGAACCTTATCATTTGAAGTTTGGTCTTAAATGTAATGAGTTGAAAGTAGCGTCCTGTAATTTAACATTAGGTCTTAATAGAAATGTCTTGAATAACATAGCCATATTATCGAAGTAGATTGTAAGCCAGATTATAAAAGCTGATTGTGTTAGATATTCTCACAATGGGCAGAATTTACTGAGGTAGATCCATAAGTTCCAAGTTTATAACAAGTTTTTGGATTTTTCCTTTTGCCGGAATCAGAGGTGCTCCTGTTTGCCTATCTTTCTTTGCCACTCCACATCCACATCTACACCCATTCTGTTCACAGGGAACTTAAGGCAAGTATTTGGGGTGTGGGTCCTCCATCATTTGTCTAGTAGTACATGCTGGGCCGCTTAGGAAGTCTTGCCATTGTTTTAATTATCACAGCTACAGTGTAGGATATTACAGCCACGAGACGGCAACTTTGTGACAACCCAAGAATTCTTGACACTAGCATTAGCAAAAAAACAAAAAACTAAGTTTGAAATGTTCACGTTTTCTTTTTCATTGTCAACATATGATTAATTTTCAGTTGCCGCCTTCGCTTTCCTGGCTAAGCTCATGAACAGTTAGAAGTTGGAAAATTTATTAATCAATCCATGCAATTCAAAATGCCAACTGGATATTTTTACATGAACGTTGGTTGTCGGATAAACCTCTGACTGATCCATTTATTTTCTATTTATTATCCTATGCTGTTGGCCTGATTGGAAACACTAAAACACAGCATCGCAGAGATATCCTTTTGCTAGGTCTTTAGCAGGGGGCCATTAGCCCAAAAGGTCCTTAACAGACCAATTGGTCCTAGGGCCAGACCCATTAGCCAAAAAAAGCCTATAACAAGGCGATTGAGCTTGTAATGGTGAGACGAGCGGGATCGGATAGAAGTTCTTTTGCTACACTGATCAGTACTGACATTAGGCGGCTTAAACTTTTTATTATGGCCTGGCCCTTATTAACCAATCATTTTTGTGTCCAAGCTGCTGATATTTTCATGAGTTGTCGAAAGACATGCACCAAACTGTACCTTTTCCAGTGTTTTTAGCAATGGCCAGCCATGTTGAACGCAATCATGCTGTTTTCTTTGCTCTTGTAAAAATATTCAGTTGTTTTTAAACTTCCACTATTAATTCTCATCCTTTTCAAACAGCATGAAAAGAAATCCTCTCTCTATAGTTTTATAACCTTTTAGAATGCAAAACACAACTGAAAAGTAACTTCTCAAAGTTATCATTATTTTGTCCTTTGGAGGCAATTTCTTTGCTCGAGTCCCACACATGAATGCATTTTAACCTCCTTTTCTTAATATTAAACTACATTTTTCCAAGCTCCCATCTATCGAAACTATTCCAAATTCCAATCGAAACCACAAATATTTTTGCTGAAGGTTCTTAACAACAATTGACACTCCCATATATGTTGGAACCAAATTATATAAGGATCTTTTTTTTCCCCTCAAATATAAATATATGGGTACTAGGCAATCTGTTGTACTTAATTGCCTTAAAAAAGAGTTGATTTCTAGATGGATAATGTTATTATTACCATTTATATGAATTAAAAAGGTTCGCTTGCAAAGCTATTGCTTTGTTAGGGAAGTCCTATATATATTGTTCCTATATTAATTATTAATTTCAACTTTAGATACCTTGCCCTAGCAGAAATAATATTTAAGATCATAAAGTTTCTAGGTCATGCTAAATCATAATAATTAATTGATTGCATAACATTTTTATTGGCATCGGACTAGTCATTCTAATTATTAGTAATGAACTTTGTAAATATATGGTTTAATGATGTAAGGAGGTGAATTATGAAGAAGAGTCGCTAATTGCCTGCCTTGAACAATAGGTTGAAAATGGAATATAGAAAAAGTTAAGACAACATAGAAAAAACCGTCTGGATTTAGCAATCAATGTGGAAAGAAATCGTTGACATTATGCTATACCATTTGCATTTTGCACTAGTGATTGAATTGAAATTTGAAGGAGGTCATACAAGCAGGTGAAGAGATGACAATAATGATTCCAAAACAATCGCTATCAGTCACATGGCAACCTCAGTTTGGTCGGCTGTTTAGTCCCTAAAAAATTCCCAGTGCTCGATGTGGTTGGATTAATTAACTAAAGAATGAAAGCTTTGAATTGGCCTTCCATGGAGGACAGAGAAAATGGGTGCAACAATCTCAAGCCACTTTGGCTATAAAGCGGCTTCTTAGAGAATGAGAACATGAAACACAATGCTAGATTCGAAGCAATAGGAGCCCCCCTCCCCTTCACATGGAAGTGAAAGCACATTTTTTTCCCGTTGAGGTGGTCCATTCTCTTAATGGATTAGCTTTACTAAAACAATTGTTAATTTGGACAAGATAATGGGTTTGTTTTGTTTAATAGAAGAGGGTTAGATTAAAATAATGTTTAAGTAATAAAGTATTATTGTTGCAATTAGACCAAGGCTCCAACAGCTTTCATTTGTTTCGTTTTCTTTCTAAAGGGAAGGCTATGTTCTTGAAGACTTAACCTCTTCTCTTCACAAAATTCAACTCGTTGCTTAATTTTTTAAAGGGTTTTGCTTCGATAAACCCGGTGTACTCTACGCTGTTTTGGACTTGGTAAACCGGTCTGGTGAACCTAAGAGAATTAGCGTTGGGACCAACTTAATTTTCAAAACTAGGCAAACCTGGCAAGCAATTACTTGGCAAACATACAACAAAATAAAAGAAAAACACAACTATAGTTTGAATTAACAGTACTAAGAATTAACTTCAACTAAATTAATTTGTGTTTAGATTTTGTACAAGGTGATTTATCTTGTAAGAATAAAAAGGACGATCAAACACAACTATAGTTTGAATAAACAGTACTAAATATATGGTTTGAAAATTTAATCGAATAATAAGTGATAATAATAATAGAGATCACAAATAAAAGCTGTTGCTGTTAAACAGAAGATGGATTTCAGTACCTAGGAGGTGATGAAGGGGCACGTTGACCGCTTAAGAAGAACGATTGTTTGTTTTATTCTAATCACCATGAAAAATTTTTGGTTTCATATTATATGCTATATCTTCAATTTGCTGGCTCTATATTTTGAGAGGGGAACAATTTTAATTTCCAAAAAAAAAAAAAATTAAGGTAGTTTTCATTATTGTTTTTGGGGGTTTAGTACGAGCGAGAGGGTTTGGCTAAATTCGATGAGAGGGACGAGAGTAACGTGAAGACGAAGATGAAGATAAGGCGGACTGCGAGAGCACCAATTTCAATTCAGATTCTCCTTCATCCAATCACCAACCCTTTCTATTTGTTCCTATCAAACAATTTATTATTATTAAATTTATATTGTTTTGTCTGTTCTTATTAATTCCTCTCTTCCCCACTAATTAAAATGAGGGATTGGAGTGAGTTTGACTTCTTTCTTTGCACTAAAGAAATTAATCCAATAGCCAACTCTATAAGTGTGATCAATCGTTCAGTAAAAGTAAATATCGATGCTGCATCATCTCACATTTAGAACATATAATTTTAAAGACCTGTATTAAAGCCTTAAACGATGACCTGTCCTTGATTTAACAATTTATGAGGGTTAGCATGATAATTTGGTTTTGTCACGTTCGTATATAATTAATCGACAAATGAGCTGTTGATTGAGGAGGGATTGCTCTTCGTGATGTTATAGCATATAGATTTGTTTGATATATAAAATTATAATAATATAAGAGAAGATGATATTATAAATATGATTATATTAAATAATATCATCTTGTTTTATATTTGATATATATAAAGATTAAGATATAATAATTTATTTGTTGGTCAAATTTTTTTTTTCAAATTTTATATAATTTAAATTATTAATATAGTTTTTAAGAGTATAATAATGTATACAAGTTCAATTCCATGGATTAAAAATAATTATCTTCATTTTAAAAGGATTGAATCATGATATGCCAAGAGAATAATTAATACTCCTTATAATCCTATCATCCTCTATAAATACAAATTAAATATAATATAAGATGATTATTATTATATTCTATTTATCATTTTATGCACCAAATATGAAATATATGTTATATCCTCACCCTTTAAAAATGGAAGGATAAAATCTCATTCGTGATGCTATATATATATATATGGATCTCCCTAATGCTTGGGGTAAGATTATATGCCTAGCTTATTAAATTCAAAAATTCATTACGAATAATAATACTTTCAGAATTAAGATATGGATATAAAGTAGAGTGACATTAATTAATTATCAAAATCATGGTTTTGAAAATAGGGATGTTAATGGGTAAGGTATGAAGAGAGTAGAGCATTTTTCATTCTCATCCTAAAATTTTTATATTATGTCCATTCTTGTAACTATATCCAATAGATATTTCAATTTATCCCTATTTTTATTTTCGTGTATATTTAATGAGTATGAATAATTTTTATACTCGTAACTTAAAAATAACAAAATAAAAACTAAATTTTATTTTTTTAACTTTTTATTTATATCTTGTATATTTAGATAATATTTTATAAATATATATTTTAATAAACATATATTAATTCTAATTAATCTAAAATAATAATTTATATTATTTAATAAAATTTTATTTACTAAAAAAATATATAAATATATATGTAGGATGTGGGTATAGGATGAGTGCTAATTATCCGTTTCCATCTCTATACTTAATAAAAAATTTGAATTTCTATTAAATATGAGTAAGATTAACATCTCTATTTGAAAATCTAGTTATAACCTTATTTGAGAGTCTTGGAGCTTTACGTATATGTTCAAATAGCCAGACAAGTTTTGTTCGAACAAAAATAGAGAAAGTGAAAATCCGACAGAAAGCATCAAATGGGTTCATGGGATTCAGGGAGTGGACTATATGGAGGAGGTGAGAAGTGAATATAGAGTTCTTAGAGTAGGGTGTGATATAGGGACAGAGAAACACCTAAGGTTCTTCCCATTAGCCATAAATAGACTCCTCTTTCTCATTGGACCTAATCAACAAAGAATGGAAGCAGGACCGCTCGTGCAGCTATTTTTGTTGCCCTTTTTTGGGTTGGGTTGGGTTGGGTGTGCTTAATTTGCAGTTCTCTTAATTTCTCAGTGTTTGAGTTGTGGGAGTCAGTCTTTGTTGGTGGCATCTGGGCATGTCAGCGCCACCCACGCTTAATTTCTCTCTTCTTTCATCTCATTCACGCCCACACGCCCTGGTTTCTGATTCAACATACATCAATGCACCATGGATGATGCAGTCAAATCCCATTGTCGGTTTCAAATGCTTTATTTGTTGTCACCCTAACCCCTCCTACCCTTTTAGATTTCTTTACCTTGAGATCTCAGCTAGCTTCCTTTTCTTTGCAGTTTCATTGTTACCTGCCACTCCACCACAACATAATTCACATATTTTTGTATTATAATAAGAGATTAAGCACTTTTTTCTTTGCAAATTACATAATTCATGAACATTAACATTATTCTATATATTTGTTTCAAGTTTCTTCTCACAGATAGCTATGTTTAGTTTTTTTTTAATTACTACAGCGTCACTAATTGAATCAATGTGTTTGTCATGGAATCAATTTATAGTTGATGAGGCATTTTCATTATAGTGATGTAAGAAATTAAGGACCACTAACCAAGTGTTCATCATTAATTTCAATCTTCTTATTGTAAATGAAATTAAGTATAGCTACTATACTGCTACTTATTGGCGATATGCAGGTTAAGTCAAAGTGAGCACGTTGAGATCTAAAGAGTTTTGAAAGAACTATCTTCTGATGAGACAAAAATGTTTTGACTTATTTTTATCAATTTTGGGTGCATTGTTAGATTCATTTCGATTTAATTGAAATTGAAAAAGCATCGATTGACATTATCGTTCACGGCTGGGGCAGGGCAGGTCACAAGCAGCTTATGTGATGTAATAAGACTATTTATTATTCAATTCTATATTCCCTCAATCAATTAATAACAAGCCAACTAGCTAACTCTTCCTCTCCCTTGAATTAATGACTATAACTTGAGAAAAAATATATAAAAATGACTGTTAATGTTTTTGTTTGAATATATTAATGGAGACTGCAGTCCAAAAATATATATAAAAAAAAGGGGTTTTTGACATTAAAATTTTAACCTTAAATTTATCATAGATTCTTAAAATGACTGCACGAATTAAATGGATGAAATAATAACAATATTTCACTTTTCATTCTAAAATTATCAATTAATTAATTATTACTTACAGTAAAAAGTAAAAAGTAAAAAGTTAGATATAATTACAGATATAGTATATATAATCCAATGATTAAAGAGTTTTAATAGTACCTTCCAAGAATTCAGCTCAGAGAGAGAAAACATGAATGTTGAAGCATTGGACTTCACTTGAGTTGCAAGGCTACACTACTTTCCTTGCGTAGATAACAGTCAAATGCGTGCTTGAATTAAAAGCCAAGGAGAAAAAAAAATGACATATATGGTGACCGGGAACGGAATATTCCGTAGTGTGAAACCTTTTAACGTTTGAACTGCTCGAGCGAGATCCAGCAGGAGAGTGCACATGTGTAGCATGCATGAGTTGGCAACTAGCTAGCTTACGTGAAAAGCATCGCAACTTGGAGACAAAATCCAACAGTTCCTGACGTCCCTCCTTGTTATAAATTTTGCTGACGCCCTTCTTCATACTTAAACTCAACTCTCATTTCATCATCGTGACTATATATATAGCTGAATCAGTTCAATTGATTCATTAGTTTTCTTTAGCATTAATATATAAATTTCATTTGAACAAGAGAGTTCAGTACTGATAACAAGCCATGACGAGAAGCAAGTAAGAATTATGAAAAGCCACAGAAAATTTCAGACTTCATTAATCCATTAGAAAATGATCTCAACGTAGTTTCTGTTTCCACCACGAACAGAATAAAACTACTAGACGTCATATCAATTAAAATTTTAATTTTATTATATATTGTGTTATACAAAGTTTAATTTATAGTCAGGAAAATATGCTATGCTACTCGATTAAAACTTTCGTATAAGTAGGGTTGACAATGTAATCCATATTTCTTGAATTTTGACTTAATTCGAATTTATTTTTTTAAATAAAATTTTAAATCAAATATTATTAAAAAAAATTAAGATTAAATTTTATATAAATTCATTCCATCTCGATCTAATTCAATTCGATTTGTTATGTATCTACAAAGAGGGATTAAAATGTAACACCAATTTAATACAAATAAACCCGTCTCCAAGTTGGTTTAAACAGAAGTTGAATCAAAACTACTGTGGGAGTTGCATTTACCATTTTACTGATACGTTAGAGATTCGGTGGTATAGCTAGGGAAGGGACACAACCGATTTAGGTCATGAAGAGCAAATAATGGAGCCCCCAATATAAACGTCAACATCAACATCAAATTGTAGACAAGGCAAGGCAGTTGCCGGTGGCCAGGCGAAGCCAGTTCAGGCCAGGGAGGAATAGAGGAGAGAAGAAGGGAGATTTCATTGATTCATTCATTGCTAGAAACGAGAGTCCCCCTTAAGACACGCCCTGACTCTCCTGACTTTGCTCGTGTGGGTCCAACTCCAATTTCCCATGATCCACATGCACCACCCATTAATGCCCTCTTTCCATCCACCAAATTATCTCATTCCAATCCCCCTCCCTCACTCAGTTTTTTTATGACTGACTGCAACTCCACCCTCACTCTCAACAGCAAGCAAAAGCACATTTTGTAACGCTAGCTAGTTAGCTCACCCTCTTTTAGATTTTATTTCCCTCCAGTCATTTTCCAACCACGATAAAGCCTCTTTTCAGTTTTCACACACATATTCTCACTTTCTCATAGTCTTGCCGAATCATTTAAATGTACGAACTAAATAAGAATCTCATCCGTTTTCAATCCTATATAAACAACAAGCCAAAGATTATTGTATGAAACAGCTTTGAAAAATTTCCAGTCCGGTTTTATTATACTACTAGTAGTTTTATTCCGCACAAATGAACTCTCCTTTTGAGAACTGCATGCTTATGTTTTCAACTGTTATAGTTCGGAGTTTGGACGATGAAAGAACGAATCCCATGAAAGAGAACTTATGATGGACATTCTGTACTTTTTCGCTTTCGTTTCCAAGAGTTGAAAAGGGCAGCAATAGGGAGTAGGCTTGTCATGTCATCGTCGTCGTCATCGAACTTGTTTCAAGTGTATGCAGAAAGTACACAACTTTTTGGGACCTGAAGACAGAATTTTTAGTACTAGTTGTAGTGGTCAAGAGAGTGAAATGGAGAATAGAAGAGAAGATTATGAAGAGGAATGAAGAGAGAGAGAGAGAGCTTGTGCTAGTAAATGAAGCACAGTATGATCTTATACTGCAGGCTTTTAATTCTCGAGACGGAGACCGAGAAATTGAAGAGAGAGAGAGAGAAAAGGAGAGAACGTGGGGTGTTGGGTCCCCATGGTGGGGAGAGACAACAGAGAGAGAGAGAAAGGAGAGGCCCCACACACCGCCCATGCGCACGCTGTCTTACCAAAACTAAACCCATCATCGATCTGATGCCTTGACCTAACCCTAACCCAACAACACTATACCCAAAAAGCACAAAAAAAACCCACCACGCCCGAAACTCAAACCCATAAACCACCTCTCTCCATCTCCCATTTTTGGCTATTTTCTTACCCCCCCTTTTCTTCCTCATTTCCTCCCAAACCCTTAACCAACAACTTATCTTCATTCAAGAGAAATATATCACTTCCAAAAACTACGTAAGAAAACAAACTATCTCAACTCACATGAAGAGTGGAGAGAAGAACATGGGTTGATTCAGCTATTTCAGCTGAAAGTTTGGTGGCAGATGCTTCAAAGCCCTTTTCTTGCCCTTTTTTGGTGAAAGCCGCTGTTATTCAATCAGCCAAAATACACAGCAAAAAGAAAAAGGAAACAAAAATAGGAACCCTATTATCCTTCTTTTCTCTTTTCTCCATTAGAATTCGGTTGGTTCTTGTATGTGTTAGCTAATTGCTAATTAGGTTTGAACTTTGAAGGGAAGAAAACAAATGGACCCAGTAACAGCTCATGGCCGCCATCTTCCTCCTCCTTTCCTCACAAGAGATCTTCATCTAAATCCGCATCATCAATTTCAACATCACCACCAACAACAGAACTCTGAAGATGAACAAAATCGTGGCCAGAAACGAGATCGTGAAGAAACAGCCACCACCACAACCGGCACCGCCACTACCGACACGAGTGAAGGCAAAGAACTAGCCATAGTCCCTGGAACCGAAGGTGAAATCACAAGAAGACCACGAGGCAGACCTGCGGGTTCCAAGAACAAGCCCAAGCCACCGATCATCATAACCCGTGATAGTGCCAATGCCCTCCGATCCCATGTTATGGAAATTGCCACCGGCTGTGATATTATGGAGAGCATTTCAACGTTTGCTAGGCGAAGACAAAGAGGGGTTTGCATTTTGAGTGGGAGCGGAACTGTAACAAATGTAACCTTAAGGCAACCTGGAGCTCCTGGTGCAGTCGTGACTTTACATGGAAGATTCGAAATTTTATCACTTTCTGGGTCATCTTTACCTCCTCCAGCACCACCGGCTGCATCAGGGTTGACCATATATTTAGCCGGCGGTCAAGGTCAGGTAGTTGGAGGAACCGTGGAAGGTCCACTTGTTGCTTCGGGTCCGGTGGTGATTATGGCAGCTTCTTTTGGTAATGCGGCGTATGAAAGGCTTCCATTGGAGGAAGAGGAGCAACCGGTGGCGCCAGTTCCTGGAAGTGGACCCTTAGGGTCACCGGGAAGCATGGTCGGTCAACAACAACAGCAGTCGCAGCAGCAACAGCAACAACAACTATTCCAAGATCCCAACGGATCCTTCGTTCAAGGATTGCCACCAAATCTTCTAAATTCGGTCCAATTGCCAGCTGAGGCCTACTGGGGCACAGGTCGTCCCCCTTATTAACAAACAGAAAGTTTCCGGTTTTTTTTCCTCCTTAATTACCCCCTTTTCTCCTCTCTTGTTAGTTTGACCTTTTGATCACCTTTCATTCTTCTTCTTCTATAAGATAGTTGATGTTTTAGTTTAAGTCTTAAGGATGTTGATCATGGGATTCATCTGGCTTTGATTTGAAGAAGGATGTACAAAAATTTCATGGATTTCTCTTTGCTGGGTTTTTTTTTTTATCAGTAGTATTTTATAAGAATAGCTTCTTTCAATTGTCCTCATTATTCATTATACTAGCTTAACGATGAAGAAGCACCAGAAGATGGCAGTGATTTCCTTCTGCATTCCTTTTCAGCTTGTCTGAGAATTGTTCTTCAGACAAATGAAAAAAAGCCACCTTTTTATTAGGGTTCCCTTTTTTGCGCATAATACTTTTAAGTTTCAGATTCTATTACACCATACAAATCCTTAAAAAATGTTAGTAAATTATTCTTTTTTAAATGGCTTGGATTCATAGAGAAGGAATTAAGGGTTTTTGGTTTCTTCAAAAGAAAAAAATTACAACTCTAAACACAACCTACAATACTACAACTGATTTATTAGTATTAATTAAGGATTTTTATTTTTATAATTGGATGTAGGGATAATTCTAATATTATTGTATTGGATGAATATGAATATATGTGGTTCATTTAGTCTAGTAGCTGTTTGAAGGTTGGTGGGGGGCGAGATGGCAAATCATGACTTGAAGAAAGCAAGATGATGGGCGGTTATGGGCTTAGGGTTTTGCTGTCTTTTTGCTGGAATTTTTTTTCTGACTTGCTAGGGTTCATTATGGAATCAGACATGAACATTGGATACTGGGTTACACGTGCGCTGCTCTGTAAAAAAAAGCTCCTTTTCGAGGCAACCATTTCCTTGCACTACTTACTTGTAGAAGCAACAACAACAACAACCAAGACAAACTGATCTCAAGCGTTAAAGTTTCCCTTCTCTCTTTCAATCTCTATTTCTCTAAAAAAAACTGTCACTGCCAACATACAAGTAAAAGAGTACAGTGGGAGTGAATCAGTAAGAGAAGGAGGTAATTTAAAGTTTGCTACAAATACTATATGTTCAATAAATAAAAAGTTTGTCTTGATTCTGGGATGGATATGCATGTGCAAATATGTTGCCTATGCTTCTTTTTGGTTTTCTGATCAATAAACCCTAAATTTCTTTCATCTTTCAACTTATTGCCAACAAAACTTTTTTATTATTATTATGTGAAGGAAAAGCTCAATTGTAGCCTATTGATAATTAAGATTCATCTTTGGTTTTTTCCTAGACAACCAAACCCTCATTTTTGGATTGCTTGCTTTTGTATCACTTATGACATTTTCAATAACGTATATAGGATATGGATCTTATAAATCTTTTCCTCGGAATTGAATATATAAATTCATCTACTAAATTTTAGAAAAACCATTTGGCATGAATTCATTTTCTTTTCACACTTGGGGGATGATTTTTTGCAAAGATTGCTGAGTGCAAGCTAGGTTTCAACTAGTAATATAAAATTATTATGTCAACCGATAACTTAACACTGAGGCTTTTCCACAACTTGGAGGTAATAATTTGGTGGACCATATATATGTATATGTGTGTATATATATATATATATATATGTCTAATGTGTTCATGATTAACATCCATCTCTTGATTCTTTGAACTACACCTCAATGATTATCAGTGCTATATAAAATATTAAGATTCCTTTATTTTTGCCTTTTCCTTTCCTTTTTTGGCAGATATCTCATGAAACTGAAAGAGCAAAGCATACATAACGGGCACTTTACATGTATATGCATAATTTCACTGGAAAGTTTGTCCAAACATTGTTCGCAAGTTAACCCCTTTTATAAATCTTCTTTATATATTTGTGGACCCTTTTCATAGGTTTCCAAAGTTATAAATGTTATCTCTGATAACTTCTTTCTTTTGCGCATATTTCTAATTAAAATTTGATGATAATATTAATGATGGTCTTCTTTACCTCAAAAAAATAATAATAATAAAAACTGGAATATTAGAATTTACAAGAGAGAAGACACATTCTCAGTTGAATATAAGATTACATTTGAAATTGTCCTTTATATATTGGGGAGAATAATGATCCCAGCAACCATTGAATCTCTGAAACCAAAGTCGTCCATAAGACAGTTTTACAAGCATTCTGTCATCTTAACTTAAGAAAACATAGCAGAATCAAGACCTCAGGCACTGCAAAGATCTGAATTTACAGATCCAGAGCAATGTTTTTATGTCCATGTAATCGCATGCAAACTGGCAACAGCCCCTCTGATGTGATCCACGAACATAGCTTCAACCTCCTCAAACATGGTGCGGGCCCATTCTTATTTGGATCCTTCACAAATGAAAACGGTGAGTTGTTGTCAAATTGTACGAGTCTCAACAAGGCTTGCTCCAGTTTTGGGCTTATTGCAATCAGTTTTTACTTCTTACTTTTTAGATTTACCTTTTCAACTAATTTTACTAAGTCCCTTTCATTTCACCGCACCGGTGTAGCACGAATAAACTCATTGCATCATTGATTAAATTTAAATACTAACATCATCAAAATTAAATCAATATAAATTTTTTATTAAATTTTTTTAATTGTAATTACAATTTTGTTTTCAATTGTAATATAATAATTTTATTATTATTTTTAATTCATCAATTTCACCATCCATCCAATCCAAATAGAGCCTAAATTTGGTAGGATTAGAGGGGAAAAACCGATAAAAAGGAAAAAAGAAGGAATATCAGACTTTGCTCGATAAAAATAACGAATGAAGAGTTTCATTGCTATTATAAATCAGTTTGTACAAGTAGTGAGTCCCGTTTATAGATTAGAAAAGTAAAAAATAAAAGAAAATGAAAATTTGACTCACTCAATCGCCTACAAAATTTTTCTTCATCCCAACCTTCTTCGGGTTTCCGCCTTAACCTACAGATGAAACATATACCATTACAAAGTACAAACCCACCGCATACTTGCATAAAATTCGTGGGGAAGCAAGTACCCCTTGCAGATGATCTAATTTCACCGCTGAGGGTATTAAATCATCTTACCCTTAGCCTATACAGTGACCAGATTTGTTTTTTCTCTACATCACACTACACTTATAGAACAGGTTACAAGAGCAGAACTTCACCTTAATCACAACTCTATCCTTAGCCGCCGCATTTCAGCGCGAAATACAGGGCTTGAATTCAAAGTTCGATGAGCAAGACTTCTGATGTCCTCTCGAGAACAGTCCCGTGATATGCGAACCAGCTCCCAAAGGGCACCTCTACTTATCATGTCCTTTGCATTTACTTCTAAAATTTCAAAAGAAAAAAAAAAGGTCCTTCAACGGATGTGTCTCATAGAGATTGATTTTTTTATGAATGGAGAAGAAATTAAACTTACCATGCTGCGCCAAATGACACAGTGCAAGCTCAATGTGTCGCCTAATGGGTGCAGCATCATTGTTAGCATTTTGCACAATCCATGGAAGTGCACCATCATCAATAAGAAGTGATCTCCCACTTTTTAGACCTGGAGTGGCGCACAAGTTGTTATAAGATCATGCTAAGGAAAGAGAAGAGAGCTACGTTGAGACCATTTTGTGCCAGATTATCAAGCTATATGATCATTGAAAGAATGTTTTGAAAAGAATACACAGCTTAAATCGGGTTCAGAATAAAGAGACTTCTAGTGATGCGGAAATACTAACCAATTCCCGTCCCCTTAAAATGATAATTAAAAGGTACCATTTGACTTCAGCAGTCATCGGTGAAACAATGGGATGTGACAGATCAAAGACTTACCACTAGTCGACACCCGGGATTCACATTTTGCAAAGTTGGCAATTCCACGTGCAACTTGGGAAAGAACATCTGGATGTCCGCATCTCACCATTCCCAGCAAGGCCTTAATTCCACCTTCAGACCTCAGCGTTGCTTGTAGCTTATCTGAAGAAGTACAAGTATGTGTGAGAGGCAGAAAGAGCAACCCAGTTAGAGCGCTAGAAAGAAGCAGGATTTAAATTCAAGAACAACTCTAAGCATAACTAGAATTTATCCTGGAAGCCTAAATGGTAAAGCCAAAGGCATGATAGATTCCAGTTGAGATCATTTCATATATGATGAAATAGATAAATGGAATACTTATATCACATGGAATGGAAGCCAGAAAGTAATGCATACATCTGATTACTCTTATTTCAGTTCATTTCTTTTATTTATTTATCTATGGAAGAGTTCCTTCCTTTAATCAACAAAGGAAAAGTTATAAAACCCCTATAATGTAAGAACCAAAAACATAATAGTGAAAGAGGGGATCCAAAAGAAAATGCAGTACCATTCCCACACAGGTTAGCTATAGCTCCAGCAACCATGCGTAGAGTCCGAGGATCTTCAACATCAGATGCTGTCAGAGACAATAAACTGATTCCCCCTTGAACCATTATGAGTTCTTGATTGGACTCTGCCTTGCAGAGAAGGAAACAATATAAAACCCATGTAGTCGGAACTCAGAGCCAATCAGTAGCCAAACTCTTTGACACAATATCACCAATCAAAAACAATGACTGATGTGCTCAAAATGACAAAAAGGATATTTGAAGAACAATTACCATTCATCGCAAGATTGGCAATTGCACCAGCTGCTACTCTGCAAACAGTTTCGTCCTCATAGCTTCTGAGAAGCATCAGCAAGGAAGTAAGACCACCAGCTTCAACAATCCTTTCCTGGTTTGCCTCTGTTCAGTACATGGAAAGTGCACCTCATTACTCACAAAACCAAGAACAAGTTAAACATGTCTCATATACAGATTAAGACAAAACAATTTTGTTTATGCATTTATTATCGACAAAGCTTATCATGTAAGAAACAGAGGTTTACCAGTGGATAATACTTATAAAAGGGTATTACCATTACAAGAACTGAATTTCTTTGAACAATTAATTTTTTTATAACATGAGTAAAGAAGAAACCTCTTCAGACAAAAAAGGGTGGGAATATTAGCTTGGCCAACCAAGACAAGCAGGACAGTGAAGTTGCTAAAGCAAGAAACAGGGTAAATACAGGGCCCTAATGCCTGATTTTTAATGCTTACACATTGTGATTAGTATCACCCACAAAGCACTCCATAACACAAGAATGAGCAATTAGTACCCAAGG